TCCGCCGCGTTAATCGCAATTCCGGATACAGCCTGACTGACCTTCATACTCGAGCCAAATGATCCACCTCCCCACAACTTCGGCCCACTGTTTTCCTGTACCGGCATCCAGATGCGCGTTCGATGGCATACCGACGGTTTTACGTCCACAGACGTTCTTGTTAGCTGTGCCGTCCTTTTCACCAACTGTATTCTCCCGGATGGCGCTTGTAGAGTAAATGCGCATAGTTGTCTTAGATTCTCTTTGACAAGCAATTGAACAAGCTGTCTCCCAATTGAGTATACTGTTATCCTGCGGAAGGAATTTCCATGGTATTTTGATCTGATATATCAGCTATCAAGCATTGAAGTAACATGGTTACTTCTTACTTCGCCGCATCAACTTCATTCTATCTGCAATCAAAGGTAGCCTGGTCTATACGAGCGATGAACTCGTTCGCATTGTCTTCCGAGTTTTGGCAGAGTGATAAAAGATACCTGGCCGTAAACATGTTTTGCCGAATAGCTCAGAGTCCTCATTACCATCATCAATACACGGTAACTGAGGGTGAGAAACACACCTCAACTAATGTACTGCAGTAAATAAATAAATAAATTGTTTATTCTCGATAGAATGAGGCACTGCAGTAAGGCATGATCAACTAAACACAGTAAACGTAACTGCGCTGGAATAGTACAAGTAATTGATTGAAAAAGTACGATGGGAAATTCATGCAGTTTGTACATGTAAGGTATTTGTCGTTTAGTCATGGGATCGAATTAGGTGATAACGCTGGTGCGCGAAAAATCAAAGTTACGGGCTCTGGTGGCAAAAGTCGAAATTTTGTGTGATTACGCCATGTTGAGATCCATGGTTTCATAAGCACAGGAGCCAAGGGCAAAGTACGGTACAATTGTTTCCGAATGAAAGATTGCAATATTCGGGGCTCCGTCAAGATCTCAGGATTGACATTGATGAACAAGGTGCGTATTTACTGCCCTCATCTCAAAATCGGTTTAGATTCTTCATTTCAGGAAAGGATTGCATAATTTGCCAGTAGACACTTATGCATTAGGCTTGTTGGTATGTAAGATATCGCTCGTTTGTGGAATCAGATAATGACAACAGAAGAGACCCTGGAGGATAGCATGTGGGGTATTCTTGTAGAAGAGAGAGGAACAGAAGCCAGGTGGTTATGCCTCGAAGGTGATCAGCAATTTGTCAAAGATATTAACCGCAATTCCTCCGGAACTAGATTATAACATCAATAGGTGGAAAAAGCTATTCATGGCTATTTGAAAGATCCACGTAATGTCTTCGAATACGATAAGGTATCAAATATTATGGAATACAAAACTAAGAAGTAATATAATGCTAAATGTCATATTACGCATCGGGTGTAAGATACTGCTTGGAGGGGAAGCTGAAGGTGAGGAGGAGGAGGGACAAAGAAACTCACAACACAAACACCATTTAGATCGGCTCTTTGACACGTGGAAAAGTGTTCATCGTCTTTCGGACGCCAGCCCGGCAGTCGGCAAACGCCAACTTCGAAGTGGGAGTTTTCATTCCTCTTGAGAAAGTCATTACTTGGCCTCCCGTCTTCTTCCATCCACACCCAAGGCGCGTAAACAACAAACGTCGCGGGAGTTGGTGTACTGGCATGCGCAACATACGGCCCAGCCATCGGAGCCTCGTGCATGGTATAATGGTGCTGAGCGCTTCACTTACTTTTCCCGCACCAAATACGGAACGCTGAACAAGGTTATTGATCACGCGGTGTTCCCATCTGAGCTAAGCTGCGAAGGCAACGATAGTCGAAATAAACTAACTTCTTTATATCTGTCGTTCGGATGGGTCAGGATTCGTAACCTTGTCGGAGAGTTGAACGGACTGCTGCATTCTAAACTACCCTTCAGGGCGAGAATGATGTCGCATCTACGCCACAGGTGGCGGTTATTGGCAAAAGCACCTCGAGCTTTTGCTATACGGTTCGTAATATCATCTTCGATCCAACGGGCCCTAATATAGCTGCCCAAATACTTGCATTCATGAACGAGTTCTAGCTGATCACCACCAAGAGTCAGCGCAGGGATGGCTCTATGCCAATTTTGGAGAATGACTTAGCATTTCGATGATGCAAAGCATAGCTTCAAGCGACTGACAGCCAGTGCTAATCTGTCCAGTGCTTCTTGACACGTTTGTAAGCTGTCACAGATAAGAGCAATCTCCTCGCTCATCAAGAAGCAGCTCCACGCCTTGTACATCGTGTCCAAGGAATGCCGTTTCCATAACTTCGTCATTTTCGAAGTTAACTAGGGAAGCTGACAATGGGCAACCTTGTTTTACACCGCTGGAGATGTTAAAGGGCTGCGACAGTTTGCCGTAACCCCTCACTATACCCGAACTATGCGCCTTCAGCGTCCTAATAAAGTTTGCATCTTTATTGGGCACATCGACCCACCGAATCGAGGGCGTCTTTGATGTCGAGTAACACGACTGCAGTGGGTCGCCAATAAAGTGATGGTGTCCCGATTGCTGACGTAAAAGAAAATGGGTCAATACACCGTCGATTTCCACGAAAGCCGGTTTGCTCCTTACGAACGTGGCCTTCACAAGTGCCAATCTATAGAACACGACAAGCACAAGCAATTTCGAGGCATTTAGGATCAGGCTGATTCTTTTATGATTGCCGCATTCAGAACATGAGCCTTCATCGAAAAGAAGAACTATAACGGAGCAGTTCCAGTCTGCTGGGTCAGTCTCCTGCTTCCGGAACTTCACTAGTAAGTTGTGCAATTCATCAATGAGAGCTGGTCTCCCGAATTTGAAGAGAGCTGAAGAAAGTCTATCTGCTCCTACGGTCTTATCCAATTTCAGCAGTTTGATCTCACATTCGACTTCTGCGGGTGAGGGCGGATCCAAGGGGACGGCCCGGGGCGAATGGCAACCATTGCCTGGAAATGAACTTGATAACTTCGGTTAATTTAACTGCAATTCCAATTGTTCAGCCCAACGCTGCTGTGGATTGGCGTATGGTCTCGTTAACTCCAGGTCTCCTGCTGCCCGTTGCCCGTACTAGATGGAATAACTTCCCATATTCACCGAGGGCAGCGGCTGTTTCCATTTCCGATGCACGATGAGACTACCAGGCTTCGCGATCTCTTCAGGCCAGAACGCAGTTTTGTCCTGCGATCTTTTCGAGTCTCAACATGTTCGCTTCTAACCGTAACATTTCGGCGTGCATCCAGTAGTTCTAGTGATTCCCCAGAGGGCACTGCATGTATCCGTTACTGGCTGGGGTTGCACAGACGTCGTCGATACAGAGGCGTCGAAGTATCGCTGGCCTTCGTCACCAAGTAACTGTCGTGATAGTTTGATTTTGTGTTGCTCGGTAACATACACTAGCTGATTCAAGATTTGAAGTAATTCCAGGAATGTAGAGAATTTTCGCCCTCTATTCCAATTGGTCATATATGGTTTTCTGCAGGACATGACCAGAACTGCGTGGGTGCATTCCCAGTGGACAGCGTACTCTCTATCGCCAAATGATACGTCTTAGTCTCGGTAAATAAATGTTCGAGAGCGTATGCTGTATGGGACCGGTAACCCTAGGGTGGAATGAACATGTGAGAACGTAACATAGCGTAATCAACAACTGACAGGATATTCTCGGTTGCCATTCACTGGCAAAACGATGAGTGACGTATGCGTGCGTGCATGTATATTTGGTGTCCATCAACCTGAGAGACCAAGGGTCTCTAGTGCATATGCGACATTCACCCCTATTAATTCATTAGTATTATTACTTTGACGTGAATGATAGTAACTTTCTCCATCGCACTTCGGCATACAAGTTGCGATTAAATCGAACTCTGCAGCGACCTCTGTATGTATTAAGATTCCTCATCATCGTCATTATGCACGTTAGCTTCAGGTGGAAAACCCCCCGGCTATTGTGCCACAATACGAAAGAAAAATACGAAACAGTAGCACGCCGGCTGTCATCAGTAACGGATGAACATCGTTCCGGAGAGTTAACAGCCGGGTATAGTGCCGCAAGCTAGTCGTATTTCCCCTAATAATTGAGATCCTAGTAGAAGGGATGGCTAAGCGGGAGCGGAAGGACAAAGAAACTCATAACACAAACGCCACTGGGGCCGGCTCTTCGCCATATTAGCGTGTCCAACCAAACGCGTTCATCGTCTTTAGGACAGCCAGGTAGTCGGGATGCACCAACCGAGACCCATTTCGACGTGAGGGTTTTCATTTCTCTCGACCAAGTCATCGTTTGGCCTCCGCTCCTCCTATTCCAACCGCATCCCCAGCGCGCAAACAATGCACGTCACGGGAGTCAGTGTGCTGGCATGCTCAACACGTGACCCAGCCATCGGAGCCTGGTGCGTGATATCATGATGCTGAGCGGTTCACTAGCTCTTCCTGCACCAAATACGCGACGCCGAATACGCTCATTGTTCACGCGGTGCTCCCACCCGACATGAGCTAAGCTGCGAGGGCAGCGATGGTCGAATGCAGCTAACTTCTTTATGTCTGTCGATCTGATTGGCCAGGTTTCCCAACCGTATATGAGGGTTAAACGGACTGCTGCATTATACACTCTGCCCTTCAGAGCGTGAGTGATGTCGCATCTGCGCCCAGGTAGCGGAGATTGGCAAACGCACCTCGAGCTTTTACTATACGGTTCGTAATCTCATCTTCGATCCCACGGGTCCTAATATAGCTGCCCAGATATTTGAATTCCTAGACGAGTTCTAACCGATTCCTCACTTACAGACCCATATGCTAGACGCAGTTCCTGGGTTGATCGGTTTTTAACTTTTACCTGACCTACCGGATTGGATACCTTTTAGTCATTATCCGCTGAGTTTCCACCTATCCATTATCATACTTCCACACTTTAATTTGAAGTGAGAATCACGTCAGCTACTGTACCGTAATCAACTCTCTGGCAGCTATAATTCGCTTCATTTTGACATCATTTGCCACCGATTTTATTTTAGGGACGGATAGATTGGTTGGATGATCTGCACTGTTTCGATCCGTCTACCTTACATTGGTCTCGACTGACTTTGCGGCATGCTACTCATGATGTTGCACAGAACCCTCCCGTTCGCGCTGGTCAGTCGGGTTGCTTCCTCCCTTCTGGTCCGGAAGGACAATGCTGTCTGTTAGTTCTATTCGGTGGATTTTCACACTCATCGGGAACATGTACCAATGACGTTTGCATCATAGCACCAGACAAAGAACAGTGGTTTTCCCTCAGTGCACCCGCAGATGCAGACTCGGGATGCGGGTGGCCTGTCGGTCGCTGTGGTCATTCGGTGTGTGCTTTGGACGCTGACCGCATGTTGGTGATGTATGGCAATCTAGAATCTCCAGTAGCTCCATCTTTTGAACCTCCAGTTCGAAGACAACGACTACCCCATCTCCAGCCAAATTTGGAGGACGACAGTCAACAATACCGTGGACAGCCGGCTGCTGATATGTGGATTCTAACACGATCTTGCTCCTCTCCGAATCAAGGTCAGTTTTACAGCCACATGACCAAATATCTTTCGTATTATCTTTGATTGTTTTTCCTCTAAACTTCTCGATGTGCCTCCCTTTTTCCTAGATTGGTGCTCCACCCATTGGTACTGGACTTCAGTTGTTTGTCCAATCAATGTAACCGGATGCCCCTCAATCGACTTCTATCACGCCTCTGTCGTCACGTTGCCTTATTGTGACTCGAATAAGTCCTACGAACCGGACCCGGAATATTCGACTGAATCCGCACAGTCGTGTCAGTCACTGGGGGCGACGTACACCGTTTTGTGTATTAGCCAGCCCACACCGTCTTTGTTGGAAGAAGCAATGAGACAGCGCCGAACTTGGCCCCGTCGGAAAACAATGTCTAGCATTTCAGGTAGACGAAATTCACTATCTCCGTCCACTTCCGTCTCGTCCGAGCACCTCACTCAACCAAACGGTGAAGCTCCTTCTGAACCTGGTTCCCCATCCAATGAACTCAATGATCTGGCTACTTTTTCTGCACCTCAGTCTCCGGCATCGGCACCAGAAACAGAAGGTGAGATTGATCGCTTGTCGACACTACCAGTCATTGCTTAGTGCTACCGCCATGTCAGAGTTCGCCATACCACTAGCCAGCTCTTCATGGAGTTTTCACACACAGCTACGTTGTAAGCAGTTGCTCTCGGTCCATATTTCACGCCATGTACCAGTCATTGCTTGATTACGTAAACGTTGATCATGAATACAAGTCAGGGGTATGATCATAGGGTTCAGTCGCCGTCTTTTGCAACCTGCCTCATCTGCCTCTCCATCCCAACTGAGATTCGCCTAAGGCCGCATTATGCACGAGAATCAGTAGGCATAAGTTGCCTATGGGAAAAGTATCGGTAAGCGCAGCGTTCGCAACCCGCTTCCATGCACCTTGTGATCCCTATCGGGGTGCTCCATTTACCAATGAACTCCATTCTCTTTCGGTAAAATACGTTGGATCGGATACATCATTATCCCATCCCAGTAGCTATGTGAGACACAGATCCAAACGGTTAGCTTATCGGACCTAGAAAGGCCGGTAGTTCAGTGATATGCTCATCATCTTTGTGGTTACCCGTAAGCATATTCATACACACACTTGTTTTCCAAAAAACCAAACCATCCCATTTAATCACACAATAACCCATCAAATACCGTATGGATTGATCTACATGACCACAATTCAAGTTTCATTTTTTCACACCTCGTCACCTCTGAGTTCCGCGTTTTCGTGTTCACTTTAAATGTGCTACCCCCACATTGCACATAAGATTGTTCGAACGAAAAATTTTGCAATAATTTTCATTTGACCTTCACAAAACGACTAAGATCAACAAATACTGCGTTTTAATAAATCGCAATAATGGTGTAATTGTTGGGGGATCACTCCATCTGGTGTGTGAAATATTGTATTCCATGAGGGCAACTTCACGTACAATCTGACTTCGAATACATGCATTGATTACAAATCAATGTAACAATACTGACGCGTGTGCAGGAATGAGTTACAATTTTGGTCGACAGACGTAACCTAAAAGTTAGTCAACTGTGTGTGCCTGAATAATTAACGCAGTTCTGTACTCTAGATTATCGGATAACAAGATCAGCAATGAACGACAAATCAGTGGCAAAAAATTTGGTCTTGGTTCGCACACTCTGTTTCAATTGGTCACAACAATTCGGATAACTATAGGTCATGTGGCTACGTTGCTTGATGGAAGAGCTTACTGGCATCAGTGTAAGATTGATGAGAATTCGCCTACGCCTTGGACGAGGTAGCTTTGCAACTTTTATTAGCATGCATGGTCCCATCATGTGTTATTCTGATGACACGAAGGATCAGTTTCACTCTCAGTTGTCCTTCGTGACACAATCCGTGCCGGGGAGCGACCGACTATTTCTCATGGATAATTTCAAGGCACGCGTTGGGCGTGATAATGCCTTGTGGATAAACGAAATCTGGCCGTGGGATATTGACTCAACCAATGTCAACGGTGACCAGCTGCTCTCACTGCGCGCCACTCACAGCCTGACGATCACGAACACACGGTTTGCACTGAGTGCGAGTGATATTGCTACTTGAACGCACGCACAGAGTGGTCATGCTCACCTGCTCGACTATGTCACCGTACGCCATCGTGCAATGCTTTAAGTGCGTAGGATACATGTGCGGCGTGAAACTGAGCACAACTTGGTGCAGATCCAGTTGTAGGTATATTTCCGTAAGTTCACATATTGCTCACCTGACGTGAATTGGCAGGGATTTGCTGTTCCTTCCTTAGATAATGTTCAGAAAGGGAGCGAATTTGAGAATGTGATGACTATCCGCATTGGGGATGTCGACTGCATCGAATCAGTCAGCAACCTGTAGCACCACATCAAAGAAGTGATGATTTCTACGGCTGAAGAAACGAAATCTAAGGGTAGCTCAGGACTAGATGTGGAACAAATCCCGAGTCAATATGAAAAAAACCTTTCTGAGACTTGCCAGTCGGTTCAAAAATGAAGTGCATGGATTACAAACATGCGACCGCTTGTGGTCTAGTGGAGGAGAAACTCCTGCTGAAGTGAAAAAGGACGTATGACCTACTCGGTCGACGACGGTCCGTACGCTCGATAAGACGATAGGTGACGAGTTCATGCTAGCGAATTGAGAATGTGGTACGAACGAGAACAAACCACGACATACATGGAACGGTCTCGAAGATCGGAAAGACTCCCTGCGACGTCGATGACCTCGGAAACATTGAAGTGGGAAGTGTGGTGGATGACTTATAATTAGTGTGGTGGTGTGTGTGTGATGACCTGCAAGCGTGACGAAATCGGGGAAATCATTGGTCTCTGCGGATGAAGAACGCTCAGTGCACAATCCAACCATCATTGATACGTTGTGTATGACGATGCGCAGCGGAATGGAGTATGTATTAATAACAGTGAAACGAATGGACATAGAGCCAAACAAATCCATGGAAATCACTGGAAGTAGAGAGGTTTAATCACCGCGTAATCATCATAGCACACTATCTGAAGGTGAGCAACACGCGTCAGCTATTGTGCCGCAATATAAAAACAGAGGATTTTTTGTTATTTTGCACACGCCATTTTTCTAATATTTTCTGTCGTTTTTAATCGTTAAGTATTAAGTATCCAAATCCAAGCAGTTATATACACAAATCCTCCACTGGTTTCGATTACGAACCATATCCTGAACTGTTTCCAGCTATTGCCACTCCTCGTTCTTTGGTCCACAACCAGGCTGACTTGTGAGTTCAACGGTGGCAAGGCGTAAAGTCAACGGTTCAATATGATGTCGCCCGGTGGACGACTGACCACCACGTGGTCAAGTCCTGCACGAGCGAAAAGGGCGCAGTGAGGCAAACGCTCAGCTGACATACGCAGCACGTGATCGAGCCATTATAACTGGAGTCCCAAAATCAACTTGTTGATTGGAATACTTGCCTACCCTATGACACGACGTTAGACTTCACCGTTGCAGATACTTTGCTGCCAACACACGAGCAATCCTCCTCAAGCACCCATTGTCGAAGGCCGAGAGCCAACGCATGTCATCTACGCGAACTGACCACGACTCGCTTCCATATAGCAACCGTGGCATTGTAAACACGACCCTTGACCACAAGGGAGAAATCTCGACGGCACCACAAGTATTGAAGGTCGAAAACGCTGAGCGGGCTTTGATGATGCAGATGGAAAGTTTCTTGCTGATAGCGCCACCAGCAGACACGCAGCCGCCCGGGTATACAAAGCTATCGACGTGTTCAAGCTGTGTGCCTTCAAGAGTGGACACGAGAACGGGCGGGTGTCGATCTTGGAGCAGCACTTTGCATTTCGACGGAGCGAAGCACATTCCGTACTTAGATGCATCGATCGCCAAACAGTTTATAATGGTTTGCATACTCTGCAAACCGTCACCAATTAGGGCGATGTCATGGTATAACCTAAGTCGGTTGCTCGCTTCCCCGATAGTATTTGCAGTTCAACATGTTGGTAACCCACCACAACTCTCGACAGAACTTCAATCGCAAAATTAAAGAGGAACGGAGACATATGTCAACCCTGCCTTACACCGCTATTGACAGCGAAGGACGAAGAAAGTTTGTCATAGACCCTTACTTTGCTTGAGATGTGGAAGCAGAGTGCTCGCAGGATGGCAGTATACTTTTCCGGGACCCCGTGCCTTAACAACCAACGCCATAGCGCAGGTCAATCAACTGAGTCCAATGCGGCACGGATGTATAAGAATGCAACGATGGCAGGCATCTGGTAGAGGTGGCTGTGTTCGGGGATTTGCGGAGTTTGAAAATTTGATCCACACACCCAAGACCAGGGCGGAAGACAATTTGTTCTTCCCGGTACTGCGATTCACTAATCGGGGATAGTCTACGAAGTAGAATGGAGGCAACCGAAATGAGACTGATCCGCCGATGATTAAAGCATGAAGTGGGAGCACCCTTCTTAAAAGTTGGGACGTTAACTGATTCGCTGGAGGAAGAAGGCAACTTTGCTCCATTCCAGACTTGGGAGATCAGTGAGGCTAGTTGGCTGATGATAACTGGAACAACTCCGTCTGAGCCAGCAACCTTGAATCGTTTCAGGGACATGCAAGTGGGCAGTGAGGGCCAATTGAAATGGGAATGAAAATGTTCGGCCCATCAATCCAAGCGTCTCTGTAAGTTGGGAATCGGGAAACCGTCCGTCTCGCAAGTGGTCACACTGACACCAGGTTTCCGTGGCCAGTGGATCAAATGAGCTAAAAGAGCTTGCGAGTATTGCCAGAGAGGGCGGCGGTCTCCATTTCCGAAACACGCTGAGACCAGTAGGCTTCACCATTACTGCGAAGGCTGTTTGAGCTGCCGACTGACAGAACGGCGCATTTCATCATGACTAGACTCCGCAGGTATATTTCTGCGATCGTCAAATGGATCTAAAGAGCGTGTGACGTTCTCTGCCTTCATAGGGTGCTGAGTAAGACCACAGACTGCCCGGAAGCGATCATAGTCCTCTGCATGAACCTCCGGCGTTCGTCAATGTCTTGCGGTGGGTCGCAGCTGAGTGCATCGATCAGGGAAGATTGATAGCTTTACTGAGCCTAGAGAGTACATAGCTTATTCGTATCCACCTTATAGTGTCTCGTTTTCGGGGACCCTCCGAAACTCATGCAATGTTCGCACAGACAAGAGCATTATCTGAGTCAATAAATGTGGACCAGATTGGTCTGCAGTTTTTACACAACCCCACCATCTGAAACTCATTGCCTAGAAGTAACGAGCTTTTCTCGTAATCTTGCGGCGCGGCTTCGAGCCTGCGTAGGGGCTGGGCGACACTCGCAGTATCCTTAGCCCACGTGCGACTGGTGGTGGTTGCGTGACAGCGAAGCGTCGGTACAGTGTACCGGCATACTACTGATGCCTTTCATTGCGATATGATCAATCTGTGACTATGGTTGAAACGTGGAAGGGGGCCGCCAATTAGCAAAAGCTGGTGCTCGAGAGAAACAGATGATTG